GGGCGGGGCCGGGCGGGGCGACCTGACCAAGACAGTAACGGACAACATATCGCAGCATAGCCGGCCCGTCCAGGACCCGAGACAGTTTGGCTAGCACCAGAAGAGGGCAATGCCAAACCGCGTACCTGCACCCGCGGGTACGACACACGACGATTGCGTTGACATATTTGACTAGAGGACGGTCAGTGCAGCGCGGCGAGGCTGGTTTTAGCGATTTCTTGAAAATGAAAAGAGTTAACGAGTTCTGGGTTCGGCGCGACACACTGTCGCCACCTAGACCCCCCTCCCTCTCCCTCCCACCCCCTTTCCCTCCTCTTCGACTCCAAACGTCCTTGTTTTCCGAGAACCCTACAATGTCCGTCACCGAAGAGCGCCGGCACGTTTTATTATTTTCATTCTTGTGGCCCGGCAGGCTCGCGCAGGCAGGGCAGAGCAGTTTCAGTACGCGCTGACCCCCCTGATTTTGTTTCTCTGTTTTTCCTCAGGGCTGCGTCCAACCAGCGTAAGCTGCACGTCAAGCGGCCCATGAACGCCTTCATGGTGTGGGCTCAGGCGGCGCGCCGAAAGTTGGCTGACCAGCACCCGCAGCTACACAACGCCGAGCTCAGCAAGACCCTCGGCAAGCTGTGGAGGTGAGCGCTCGAGGCCAGCCCAAGGACCGGGAGGGGCCGTGATGGCGGGAGACTTGAAGGCGGGGGAGAGCCAAGTCAGGCGGTGTGGCCTCGCCCGGGACCGCCGCCGTGGACCACGACCCTTTCGTTCTGTAAACGACATAAGTAACTGTAACTGTACACCGCGTTGAGTCGAACATGAATTTCCGCGAAAATCCCACTACATGACCTCCGTCCACTTTTTGAGTCGTGAGACAGGTGCCAATCGGTTTAGATGTACCTCTCAAAATGCGGACACTTGCCGGCAACCGCTCGTCATCTTACAAAAATATTTTATTGTAATACAACACCAATGTAACCCAAACTCTACCGTCCGCAGGCTGCTCAGCGAGCGCGACAAGAAGCCATTCGTGGAGGAGGCTGAGCGGCTGCGCGTCATCCACAAGACGGAGCACCCCAACTACAAGTACCAGCCCCGCAGGCGGAAGGCGAAACAGCCGCAGCAGACTCAGGAGGCTTCGCCCAGCCGCCAGCAGCAGAAACAGCAGCAGCACCAGCTCGTCTCGCAGCCACTCAGGTGGGTGTCGCAATGTGTTAAAATAATCCTCTGAGATATTGTTACATATACCCATGCTTTTAAAGTGATAAATTTCTCATCTTTCCCCTACTGTCCTGGCAGGGGTGGATCCTGCGTCTCGCCGTGCACGGTGTCACCCAATTCCCCGCCGACGCCACCCACCACTCCGCTGTGCGCAGGACCCTCCACTCCGGCGGGGACATCGCGGGGGTCCCTGGGGGCGGCCTCCTCGTCCGGAGACGAGCTGCTGAGCATCAAGCACGACTCGGAGCACGAGGAGGCCATGTACTCGCCCAGCCAGAGCGTGTCAGGTACGTGGGGCAGTGCAGCCGGTGGGAGGAGGGCGCTGCTCCGGATGGACCGCGTGGTTGGCAGCGGGAGACCCCGCGGCGCCGGGAGGGTAGGCACATCAGGACACCGAGGACAGCGGCGTCTTCACGTTGCCTCCCGCGCAGGCGCTCGCCCCGCTCGCCGCCCGCTCCTCCAGCGCTCCGCTCCTCAGCACACCTGTCTCCCGCCTCACCGTCACTCTCTCTCTCCCTCCCTCCAGGGCTGTGCCAGCCGGACGGCATCGACTTCAGCTCCGCGCTGTGCGACCTGGACCTCGGGCTGCAGGCGGCCAGGGACCTCCGCGACGGCGAGCTGGACCAGTACCTGAGCCCGACCGTGCCGACCACGGCCGCGTCTGCGTGGAGCCTGGGGCCAGCGGTACCGGCGGGACCGTGGAACAACCCCCGCCACCAACAACACAACCACCACCACCACCATCACCACCACCCCGCGCCCAGCGACCCCCATGGCGTCAGGTGAGCAGAGTCAGCCCAGTCCGTCCTCAGGCAGGCTGATGGTTTCCAGTGACCGCTGCGCGGCGGCGGCCATCGCTTTATAAGCGGCCACGTCATGTGTCCGCCGTGTTTACCGACGCACTGGACGCACGGCCAGGCCTGGCGCGGGGCCCCGAGTCCGTCCCGGGCAGAGCGGGGCCATCCGGCCCGAGGAGTCGAGATGCAAAACCAACATGTGTTGTTTCTTCTTGCAATAAGCTTCGGCCGCTGTGGCGTGTCCGGGCATCCCTGAATATTTAGAGAGCAGCCGGGGGAGTGTTTGGTTCATTGGCATCCGTAGTCGCGAGTGTTGTGTGTTGTGGGGCGGTGCGCACTTGTGTGTGACTCTGCGCACGCTGCGGCGGCGGCCCGGCCCGCGCGGCACATGGCGGTGCCGCGCGGCGCGCGGGGTCACTCGATCGGCCCGCGTTCAAGTGCCTGCCTGCCTGCCCTCTTTTCATGGAACGATGTGTTGAGAACCGAACCCAAACCAAACTCGCGCGTCAACACCTCGGCGGCGAGACTCAACACGTTATCTGTAAATGCACGTGAGCAGAGTAAAGATGGGCGGTCTTTTTGAAGTTGAGATTGATTCACTTGTTCTTACTATATTTGGAGCAGATCATCATGCTTGTCCCCCCCTGCTTACGGTTCTCTGTCCTGTCTTCGAAGCTTCATCGAGGTGCTTGTTGGTTTCAGGTACCACGAGTTGCAGCCTCCCACCGCACCCGCCACCAAGGTGGAGAGGACCACCCTCGCGGACTCACCCTACCACTACCCCTACCTGCCGACCACCACGGGAGTAGGGAACGGCGGGCCCAGCTCCGGCGGCGACTCCTGGTGGACGGGGTGCTTCTAGAGGCTCGGCGCCATCGGCTTGGTGTCGCACAAGGTCGACGACCAGACAGAGTGCTCCACGCCACCCTCGCGGGACCCTCTTCGCCTCAATGCTCGAAGCCCATCGACGAGTGCTCCAAGAGGTACTCCAGAACGCACTTCAAAGACGCCGCTTGGGGGGCTGGGGACCGCCTCGCCTCGCCGTCCTCTTCCTCCTGAACCTCGTGGGGACGACATGGCAGGCACCGGCTCCTTCCCCCTCCGGACGGCGGGGCTTACCGGCCAGCTGATGTGGAACAGATCCGTGGGGTCGGGGCAGCGCGGGCAGAGCGGGCCGCGGGGGCCGCGGGGGCCGTTCCGTGGGTGGGGGCGCGTCCTGGCCCGTGTCCCGGCGCGTCCTGCCCTGCGGCGTCTGGGCCGCGTTAGTGCCAATGGAGGCGGTCTGCAGTCAGTCAGCCCTACGGCTGCGGGGGGAGAGGGGGGAAAGGGGGAGCTGCCCGACCGGCCGCCTCATGGAACTTCCATGAAAATGCGAAAAGGATATCATACGCAGTGTGCACAACAAAACAAGTCCGCCGCGCTGTCTGCCAGCCGGGTTGCACCGCTTCCCGCCCCCGCCCCGCCCCCGCTAGAGGGAGTGGGGAGTAGGAGGGAAGAGGAGGGTTTGAGGATAGGGGAAGGGGGGAAGGGGGAGGGGGGTGCGTTTGGAGACTTTGCAGTGTCGAGTCAGGGTTGGGTGGAAACGTGCGACGCGTACTGCGGCTGAACGCCCCGGGTAAACATCACGAAGGTCAGACCGCCTGGCAGACGAGGAGGAGGGGGGGGGGGGTTCCTCACTCAGCACCCGACTTGATCCTGATATCGATACAGGAGACAAACATTTACAGCCACTGCTGTAGCAGTTCATCCTTGAACAGAGTCAACAAGGTTTTTTTTATGTTTTTGTTTTTATTAAGAGAATAAAATTGATTGCTGTTTATTGCTAGTGTTGTTCACTGCGGAATACTTAAAGCTAATGGATACTAAGGGTCTAGGTAAAAGTTTCGTGGGGAAAGAATCAAAGATGACACGCGTTGTCCTAGAAATATAGAATCGAAGTCCGATTATTGGTCCTGTTTATTGTTATTTTTATGTATATTTAAGAAAGACTGTTTTTGATTGAGTTTCGACGTCAGTCGTATACGCATGGTAACGTTTTGTATGTTTTATATGAATAAATGTTAACGTTTCTACAAAAATAAAATCCTCCTGCAATCTTATTACACACATCCATGAATCACACACAATGGTTGGGGTCACATCCAGCCATGCTGCTGCAACTCCTATCGAACGTGGCCTACTTGTTCACCGATGGCCAGAGGGAATGGGTACCGGGTTCGGTTGGAAAGGAGGGTGCGGGACGGGAGGGCGGAGGCTGTTGGTGGGGAGGGGGCGTGACGTATCTGCGACACGGAACAAGCTGTAAAGCCCGTGGAGCTGACGCTGGCCGTGCCGCCGTGCCGCCGTGCGACCGCCGCGTCCTCCTCGGAGCACGCGGAGCAAGTACACGGTCTAGAACCGCCTACGAAGATGGGGCGGGGGCCACCCAGGGTGTGCGAGTGCGCACACCTGTGCGACCATACTGTGTTTTGTCGCGCTAGTGGATGTGTGATCATAAACCAAGTTATTTTGTAGAATTTAAAAAGATCGCGATTCTCTAGAAGAGAGCATCTGAACCTCGATGGCCCCACCTCTACCCCCACCCTACCC